AATTTACTTGTAATCTTGAGTTTTAAGTAATATGCATTAATAAACAATACTTCACGCATAAAAAGTGGGTTTTAAGAGTTTTTGTCAAATGATTTATAATATAGAATATATTTTTTATATAGTTTAATTTAAGTTTAATAATAAAACAATTTATTTTTGGTTTAATATTATAAATTTTATAAAGATAATAATTGTGTGTGTGTGTATGCGTAAAAGCAACTTTTTTTGTTAACCATGTAATTTGTTTTGACTTTACAAACCAGGATATTTTCATCTTTTTTATATACGGATACTACATTTTTAATTATCATATTCCATAATTTATCTCATTCACTTAATTAAAAGATTCCATAATTTATCTCATTCACTTAATTTATAAGATTCCATAATTTATCTCATTCTTTCTAAAAATTCGAAATTTTCAACTTTAAATATTTTTTTTTCTGCAAATTATTCATGTAACAACCCAACTTCAAATAACGCAATACAAAAAATTTCAACGAGAGGAAGTAGTTCAAAGTTCAACTTTCTGCCTTCTAGTATCTATCTAAGAGGAAGCAACAAACAAGTTCACATTTTACCCTTTCATTTGGCTTTTAAACGAAGCTGTCCTGAAATACATATTTTTAAAAATCAAAATCAGAGTTAGATAATACGGTCTAGTGAGATCCTTGAGATGGAATCGAGTTGTGCGGGATGGAACTATGGTACTTTGTGTGATCCTACAAATGAAGGTGCAGTTAAATGTAACTTATGCAGGTTTATATGTAGAGCGGGTTTCACAAGGTTAAAGTACCACGTCGCAGGGATAAAAGAGAAGGGCGTCACCATGTGTAAGAAAGCTAGCAAAGAAGATAAAGATGTGTGTGTTGTGTTATTTGAGAAGCCAAAAGAGAAGAAGGTAGATAATAGAATTCGGGAAGAAGAAATGAGGGTAAAAATTGAAATAGAAAATGAAGAAAATTAGGTGAATGTGGGTCACGAGAGAAAGAAGGCAACATCTTTAGGACCCTTTGACAAATTTGCTAATCCTATTAATTCCGATGCTCTGACTATGCTACAACAAAATATTGTAGATGCAATGTGCAAAGAAAGAACGTACCAAGTACATCAATATTGTGCTTGATGGGTTTATGAATTAGGTATTCCTTTTCATGCCATTGATAATGATGGATTTAAGAAGTTTGTTGAAGCAGTAAGGAAATTTGGTCCAAGTTATCGTCCTCCAAGCCAATATCAGCTTAGAGAACCCCTTGTTGAATGAAGAAGTTGAGAGGACTAAAGGGCTTCTCAAGAATCAAGAAGAAGAGTGGGCACGAAAAGGTTGTTCAGAACGGTTATGATCAATGGTTGGACGGATCAGAAACGAAGAAGCATAATGAACTTTTGTGTGAACTTGAGGTAGGAACATTATTTTTTTTCTTTTGTAGACTGTTCCAAAGATGCACATACGGGCAAGTCATCTTTAATTATGTTGACAAATGTATTGAGATGTTCGGCCATAAAATGTTATACAAGTTGTTACCGACAATGCTTCTAATAATATGGTGGCCTCCTAATTATTGATAGAGAAAAGGCCAAACATGTTTTGGACTTCTTGTGCGGAACATACCATCTATCTTATGCTTGAAGCAATTATGAAAGAGCTAAATTCAAAGGTTTGATTTCCAACGCGGAGACTCTAATTATTTTCATTTATGCACATCATAGGACTTTGGCACTGATGAAGAGGTTTACAAAGTCTAGAGACATTGTGAGGTCTTATGGTGAGTTACTAGATTTGCTACTTCATTTATCACATTGCAAAGTTTGATGGAGAAAAAGGAAAAGCTAAGGCTTATGTTTACCAGTGATGAATGGAAACAATCCAAAAAGGAGCATATGCGATTGTAATGAGTGTACCATTTTCAAATGGAATAAGCTTATGCTTGAAAGTGATTTCTCCTTTAGTCAAAGTTCTTCGACTTGTTGATGGAGATCGAAAGCCATCAATGGGATTATTGTATACAGAGCTTTGAACAAGCAAATGAAGATATCAAAATGGCTTATAACGATGTGAAGATTAACTACCATCCTATAGTAGACATTATGGAAACAAAAGTTAAAGGACGACTTGATAGTCCATTACATATGGTGGCCTACCTGTTAAATCCATATTATTCCTTCAAAGATACAAGCATAAAAGATAATCTTATGGTCTCTCACACTCCAATATAACAAGTTTTTTGTATATGATATTAGAGTCTTAGAATATCATAGATATATGGATTATATAACCATGGGGTAGATCGCTTTTGTTGTTATGATCTCTTGATATCATTTTTGTAGACTTTGTATATTTGATATCAAATTATCAACTCATGATTCTTCTTTTGTTTATCGTTTTATATGAATTTAAATTGTTAAGAACTTAATCATTATTGTTCAAAACACTGACGTAAACAAAGACACAGACACACACACACACACACACACATATATATATATATAGAGAGAGAGAGAGAGATTTGTCACCTTACGCCACGCCTTGGAAGACACCATGGCCTCACATTAGCTGAGCTCGTAAGACTTAAGGCTTGAACTCACTGTCGCTCCACGTTGCACACCATTTAAAACCTTGATTGTGTCTTGTAAAACCTTTGTCGAGCAAATCTTGCAACAGAGACATCATTTATTTCATTTCTTATGGAGCTAATAGTTATGGTGTACGTGCTACCGATGTAGCTCCTAGTGTCAAATCAATTTCGAACGAACCACTGGTATACTTGTCAAATCCTCTAGCTAGACCTCTGAAAATCTCTGACTATCGGTATGCTTTCAACTTCAAAGTTTTCTTTCTTGCGCCTACAACGTATGCCAAGAAACTCTTGCACCGTTTCTTTACACATTTTCGAGCCTTTAACATTGAAAACAAACTCGTTTTTCGGTCTCCATGGTCGCCATAAATCACAATTAGTCATTTCCCAGGTAAGTCAATGTGAATCATCTTTCTTTACACACAATGGTTAGATGGTTTCTTTCCAACCAATCTATTTCTACTATAGCATGGAATTCTTTAGATCTAAATTACACTCACCCTGATGCATTTGGTGACATCTAGGACACGGTCTCTCAACAAATATTTGATTGAGAAGATTGCCAAATCTTACAAATTTTGATCTTCTCATAGCGTTTGACTATCTGTCCCATTTTCGTTTCTCATTACCTCTTTCACCCAATTGTCAGTTCTTTTCTTTCTCAGTCTTTTTCACAACATCAACTGTGGATTGAAAAGTGACTAGACTCATGTCCATAACAAGTTCTCTAATAGAAGCTTTTTGTCCCCAAATATACATCTCTACTTTTTGGGCCTCAATAGACACATACAGTTCTACAAACCGGGACTTTTCCAAAAATCTCGAGGTATATTTCTGAACTATCATATTACCATAACTAATTTGGTTTGTTTTTTAGATCCTTTTGACATGGACGAGTCTAGAGCTTTTTGGTTAGCTCTATTGAAAGCTTAGCTTGCAAAAAATCCATTGTTCTAAAAGACTTGTCACAACAGACACCAATGGCGTGTCATGACCCAAAGCTTATGTCTCATGTCATGTTAAGGATGTGGGCATGTCATAGCGTAATGCACAATTTTTGTTACATAATATTTTATTTTACTTACCTTTTTATCGTCTTATCTGTTAGTTTTTAACATATCGTCTTAATTTAAATTGTTCTTTACCATTGATTCATCGAGTGATAGTAGAAAATGTGTGTGTGTGTGTGTATATATATATATATTGTATGATATAGAGATTTGTCACCATAAGTCATGTCTTGGAAAACGCCATGACCTCACTATGGCTTTTAAGACTTGAGGATTGATCTCTCCACCATTAGAACCTTGGAGAAACCTAGTATGCTTATGGTCAACTTGATGACTCATGAACTTTTAAACACAAACTACTGATTGCTAAGATCCAACTCTTGCTTGAGTTATTTAGATATGTTGTTTTGTTGGTTTTGCTTAAATATGTTTATACAAAATTTAAAATCAACTCAAATTATGGCGCTTTTGTATGTTAAGAAGAATTCTTTTCTAGCTTATTGAACTCGCAGCCCAAAATATTTCTACTCGAGCTTTACTTGGATACTCAAAACTTATCAATCTGGCTTCGATATAAAAATAGAATTGTCAACGATTGGAAAACATTGGATAGAATTACGTTACGTTCGATAAGTATTTTGTATGTAAGTTCATTACACAAAATATCTTTTGTAAAAATATCGATAAATTAAATTGCCACGTCATAATTTAATTCAATGATGTAATTGTTGGGTGTAGATTGATGGTGATATTAAAATTTTGAATTATTAAACATAAGGATGATGTCTGATTGGTTTGAGCTTGACTTTAAAGATCAAATATATCTGGAGATCTCATGTTCAAATGCAAGGAGAAATAAAAATCTCCTTGTGGTCACGGATGTTCAAATGCAGTGACTCTGGCTATTTGCAAGACAGGTGGTCGTCCTGTGATTAATCGGCTCATGTAACGGGTTGAATATCCAGGTTAATAATTTTTTTTAATTGTTATTAAATGAAAAAAATCAAATAATGTAGCCAATAAGAAAAAACAATATATAGTAGTTAATAAAATGGATTTATATGAGATCTTGTTCATAAAAGCCAAAATGACAAAAAAAGAATTATAAAGAAACCCCTAAACTTCAAGCACTTTATCACTTGTATCCACACTATTTCCACTAATTACACCATTACCCCCTGTACTACTATTAATAACACTTCCATTACTTCTAACCCCCTTAAGAATCCCATATTTACYMAAWAACCCCYCWCCCCAATCCCAMAKRTTCAGTACYATGTAMGTYCCWATMCCGSCGATCARYCCATAMGCKATGGARTACGTCAAYGGCATCAATATCARCGTYATRAACGCCGGWATCGCCTGYYTCATRTCATCCCARTCRATCTCCACCACCGATCTCATCATCAGGACTCCGACCAGTATCAGCGGCGGACCCACCGCCCACGCCGGTATCGATGCTAGCAATGGTGTGAAGAAGAATGCTAACATAAAATATCCAGCCACCGTTAACGCCGTCATTCCGGTCCTCCCACCTTCCCTTATTCCGGTGGACGACTCTATAAACGCTGTCACCGGTGAAGTCCCAAGTAGTGACCCAACGACGATTGACGATGCGTCTGACATGAAAGCAAAGTACTGACCTTCAAAGTCTCCGTTGGCGTCGGCGAATCCGGCGAAACGTGCCATTGAATATAGAGTTCCGGTGGTATCGAGGATATCGACGTAGAGAAATGTCACCAATGCTTCCCAGAAATATCCTTTGCCGATGCTGGAGAAGCTCAGTGCGCCGGCGGTGGACTGAATTTTATGAACGTCGACGACTTGTTTGAAGTATTCGTAAGCTGAGTCGCCGGCCGGAGTTTTTGGAAACGCCGTTACTTGTGTATTACGAAACCATGAAATGGCCGTCACGAATACAATACCATAAATCATAGCGCCTTTTATGTTTTTAACCAAACAATAAGCGATGATTACGAAGCCGACCACGCCGAGCCAAAACGTTGGGCTCTCCATTCGGTTATGCAAACACATGATATCGCCGGAGACAGAGCCGCCAGGGAGAAGCGTAACGGTGCCGTTGGGGAAAGTAATAACCGGCGCAAGTGAAGTCCGGGAGGATGTGGGACACGCGCCGATGGTAACTAAAGTGGAAGAGCTGTAGCCTATTAAGCCGATACCTTGGTTGTTCTGCAAGCCGATAAAAGCTAAAAACAACCCAATTCCGGCCGACGACGAGATTCTTACCGGCTTCGGAACCAACTTCGCAAGCTTCGCTCTTAACCCGACGGCGGAAATCAACAGAAAAATCATCCCTTCGATGAAAACGGCGGCAAGTGCGTTTTCATAAGAGACGTTGCCGGAGCCGTGAAATCCGACGACGGTGTAAGCAAAGTAGGCGTTAGAACCCATTCCCGGAGCCAAAGCCAATGGTAAATTGGCGAAAGTACCCATGATCACACACCCAATAAGAGAAGAAGCGACGGTGGCAACAATAAGGTCTTTTCGGACTTTTGCCAGACAGTCGGTGTAACCAGGGTTTACCGGAGAAAACTTGCAGGTATCATCGGGCTGTATGACCCTTAAGTTGGGACCGGTGCAGTTGGAGGCGGAGAAGGAGGGATCGGAGCAAAGTGGTATGCAGTCGGAGACAGAACAAGGGCCACCGGAGTCTGAGAGGATGCTGGCGTTGACGGCAAGGATGTAAGCCATGGTGAGGAAGGTGGCGGTGCCGGCCCTGAGTTCGGTGGTGAAGGTGGTGTTACGTTCATGGAGTTTAAATCGTTTTCCGATGCGAGATTGGGCGACGAAGGTGTTGAGACGTGTTAAGGAGGAAGGAGGAGGTCCGGCGACCTCCATTGTGGTCGGAGTTCTGGAGATCAAAATGCAAATTTATACATGAGATGGATAAAAATACGTAAAGAAGAAGTTTGAAAGAATATGTGTTTAGTTACGACTGAGGGAGGGATTGGGAGGGATGATTCTTATAGTTATACCCCAATCAATCACTACTTCTATTCTTTTTATTATTATTATTATTAAAAGCCTACTCTTGCATTGCAATGTAACGAGATATATCGTGATTTTAATATTTTATTTTATTTTTTATCTTAGTCGATGTTATAATATGACTTCATGTGATTTTGAGAAAGCGATGATTTTTTATTTTTGAATAAAATATATGTTTGAAGATATCATAAAAATTTGACAAAAATATACCGATATTAGTATCAAATTAACTATTTGAAATTCCTTATTTTTTTGTGTAATTTTTTAATTCAATTTTTTTATAAAGTAATTTATGTACAATAACGAAATAATTTATATTTGGTTTAATAATATAATTGTTTTATAAAGATAATAATTATTTATTTTATTGGAACTCGATAATTATTCTAATTATATTTTAGATTTTTTATATTTTAAAATGAGATGTTCATCCTCTATTTGATTATGTTTATCCGCAGTTATT